TATATTCCTGTTTGTAATATATCTGTGTTATTCCATACCTGTGTTCGAGTTCATCTTTATTGGTTCTACCTTGGACTATCACCGTGGTACAAGGAACCGGACCATAACAACTGGCGACGAACATTCGAATTCATTCGGTGAAAGAAAAAAAAAATTGTTCGCCACAGTATAACAAGTGGCGACGAGGAAACCAACTCTCTACGCGGAGGACATACCTTTTTTTTTTTTTTTTTTTTTGCGTGCCCAGGCTACAGAATATCAGGTTATACAAAAAGAAAATTAGATCAGCGTTCGATAAATTACTACCAAGTAAAACAAAACAAGTAACACAATCCGACGCACCAAAAAGAAAATTCCTCCCAGGAGAAAAAGTTTTTTTTAAGGCATATAAAAATAATAACCCTTACTGGGAGTAAGGCATAATTGAGAAAAGAATTGGTAATATGATGTACATAGTACAAGGAAAAAAATTCTCACACAGAAGACACGTAAACCAAATAAGGAAGAGACCGTTACAGGATGCTAACTGTCCACCTCAAGAAGAGGTATTGGACACGATTTTCGACACATTCGATATAACAAGACCGCAAACAAGGCTAGAACCAAGAAAATCGTCAAGAAAAAGAAAATCCACTGAACCTTTGGAAATAGATGCAAAGAAAAAAAGATATTAAAAAAAACCTGCTACGCAAAAGCTTCGGAAGGGGGTTTTATGGGATCTTATCCATAATAATAATAATGGACTATTCCATACTTAATAAATCCTGCGCCTCAGGAGTAGGCAGAGAGTGGAGTCAGTAGTTCAAGTCGAGTCAAGAGTCGAGTCAGAGGCAGTCCGAAACAAAATCGCGTTCAGACAATTACTGCAAGACATTGGAATAGTGATACTGGTCGAGACTACATTGTTCTCTCTACTAAACCTGATTATTCAAATTAACACTTCTACTTCTCTGTATATATTCCTGTTTGTAATATATCTGTGTTATTCCATACCTGTGTTCGAGTTCATCTTTATTGGTTCTATGCGACTCAAACAAGAAATTTTTTGTAGTTTATGGAGTAGGTACTTGTTATGGTCCGGTTCCTAGTACCACGTGATAGTCCATCACGTGGTACTAGGAACCGGACCATAACAAGTACCTACTCCATAAACTACAAGAAATTTCTTGTTTGAGTCTCATTTTTTTTTTACTTTTCTTAAAATGAATAAAATCTTAATATATTGAAAGTGTTGCCTATTTTCATCCCTCTTTAATATTAAAATCAATAATAGAAATACGCTAATTTTAATTTATAAAAAGCGCGTGTTGATAGGACAATTGTAATCATACAGTCAAAAACATGTTTTGTTTAGTGAATTTTTTTAAAAACTAAACTCTACTCTGGCAATCTAATGAGAAATACAGAGCGATCATTTTAGATAATCCAACAGTAATTCTCTAGATGAAAATTTTATATCTCTAATACTAAACGACATGATTTAATATGTAAACAAAATCACTTTAAATTATCAGCGAAACATTAAAGCATTGTAAAACAATTTATTTTTACATTACGTTGATGAGAATTCCATCTACTATTATTCTATGAGCATTTAGTTAATATGCTGATAATAAAAATGTAATCAGCATTTCTTTTTTTTTTTTTTTTTTTTACTCATTTCACCCGGGAATGTTACTAATATGCAGGGGGTTACAGAGAGTGAAAGTGAGAGAAAAGACTGTGTATAGGGGGGGGGATTGAAGAAAGGATAAAAGCTGAACGGGTTTCAAGAAAATAGAAGATGGCAATTGACGTTGCATTTAAATTTTTGAAGATTGCTATTATCAGGGAAGTACGTAATAGGAAGGGAATTCCACGTCGGGAAATGCAAGAAAAACACGACATGACAGAGCAACACACAGCGCCTTATTGGCCTCGTGTTTTCAGTTGACTTGAAGTGGAACAACTACATCGAATCAATAGTTGCATCTGCTGCAAGGAAAATTAGGTCATTGTGTCGTGCCAGAATGTTTTTCTCGTCAGAGTTCATCTTGTACATTTACAAATCTACCATTCAACAGTGCATTGAATACTGTTGCTACATCTGGTCTGGTGTTCCTGTTGTTCATTTCAAGATTCTTGACAAAATCCAAAGGATCTGCAATGTAATCGATCCTGGCTTCGCATCTCGACTTCAACCACTTTCTCACAGACGTGAAGTATCCCCCCTCTGTCTTTTCTACAAATATTTTCATGGAAACTGCTCTGACGAGCTTTTTTGCCTGGTGCCCGGACTATGTAAGTTTAAGCGTGCTACTAGATTGGCATCTAGGTCCCACCATTTTACTGTTAAAAATAGTTGAAAATGTAACTGCCACTTCTACTCTAACAGTTTTTTTTTGCATTTCTCGACAAGGAGCTCCTGTCCTCTTACTTAATTCCCTGATAACTGCAATCTTCAATAATTTAAATGCAACGTCAATCGCCATCTATGAACCCCGTTCATCTTTTATTATTTCCTCAGTGCCTCCTATATTGTCTTTTCTCTCACCTTCACTGTCTGTAACCCCATCCGTACTAGTGGCATTCCAGCCTTGCTTGGGGTGAAATGATTTAAAAAATGTACATGTTAGCACTTCCAGCCATTTAAGATCAGAAGCTATGAAGCCCATATTTTGTGTAGCATCCGGACATTAAATTATTATTATTATTATTGAAATTTGTATGGTGATCGTTTGAAACACCAGAAAAGTTTAAGTGACTCTCTGTCAACTCTGAAGGCCGCAGTCATCAAACTCTTTTTGAAGGATATTTGTTGTACCCAAGATGATTTTTTTGTTGTTGTTTTGGTGGTTTTTTTTTTTTTTTTTTTTTTTTTCAACGTTATCATGCTGGTTGCGAATCCAGTAATATCAAAGTGTTTCTGGAGATTTGTGGAATCGAGCCTTAAGGCTCCAACGACAACTGGCACAATCCCTGCATGTACATTCCACATTCTATTAGCATTTACCTTCAATTCTGAGGACTTCACAAGATTTTCGACCTCTTTACCTGCAATGTATTGATCTCCCGAGCATGTCTATTAACAGACACTCATGAGAACTTTTTATGATCAATGTTATGCTTAGTCTGATGTGTTCAATAACTCTTTCAGTTTGAATTGTGAAGTTCCACCGTTGTTTTATATATTATTATTATTAGAGTGGATCAAATGTATATTCGTTTGAATGTTAAAGCGATTGATACTGTGTTTATCCTTTACTGGATGCTCCAATGTCGTCATAACATAATTGATTTAGCTTTGGTTTATGAAAATATTCAAGAAATAATTTCCAACCTTCTTCCCGATAATCAAGAAGTAATTGGCTCAATGGGCCTGATAGTTATGTATTGTCTACCAACGCCAGTAGTCAACGTTCGGACTCAAGTAAAATTCAGGATTTCTAATGTTGATTTCTTAGGCAAACTCTATATCCCTCTCTCCCTCTCTTTGTAAGATTGATGCAACAGCATGAATCGCAAACAATAATAAAAAAAATTGGGTGGGGTGGGGGTCTGTCATGGACTACGCCTTACCAATTAATCTACGAAAGCCAATTATATTTGTCATTCACATTTAGGTTTGAAATTCAAATAAGACAACTGTTCTTTCTTAGAAAAAAATCCACCCGAAGTATCCTTATTCCAACTCTTACTCTTTAATTTAGTCTGCTAGTATTCGGATGTTTCACTCAACTCTATTATTCCACCCGCCTCTTTTATAAAGCCGAAAAAATAAAATGAAAGTAAAACTGTTAATAATAAAATACATTTTAATAATAAAAATAATAATAATAATACATTTTTAATAATAAAATTAATTATCTTTCCTTTAAGGGATTATTATTCACTTACTGTTCCTTGAAATGTTTGAATGCCCATTCAAACAATATGAAATGTTTCATTGGCATTCATAATGCTTGCTTAAGAGGAATGTGTTTTTCAAATACCACTTTCGCACACATGCGCATCATATACCTACGTATGAGCGTGCGTCTGTTTTCGTATGCATATGTGAGTGTGCAATGTATGCGTGTATTTATGTTTGTGTTCTCACACACGCAAGCACATAAATTTGTATAAAAATATATGCGTAATAGCATGTGTGTATAAATGTGTTCGTGTGTGTGTCTCTGTGTGTGCCTCTGTGTGTGTCTAATATGTATATGCCTGGGTGATGACAAGACAAGTTCAGCAGTTTTTATAGTGAAATCAAATTTGATTCAATAGACAACGACGGAAAGCGCTCGAGACAAATAATAGCTATTCAGTCTTGTATAGAGATTTGTTTAATTTGCGATGCGGAAGTAATGAATTTTTTTTTTTCACAAATGCTTTCTGTTCTGAAAATGGACATTTTTTTTTCTCAGTATTATTTAAATGAAATATTGAAGCAGGAATTCTGTTGAGTCTATATATGATAATTTTCTCGTCGTTGAATAATAAAGAAAAATCTAGCGGGATCCATTATATTTAACATATTTGAGCTGCAAATGAAATTAAAGATTCAGTCTGTCTTCAAACTTCGTATATTATATAAAATTATTTTCGTTTTTCTATAGTGAAAAAAATTGCTTCAACAATTGTTCCGAAAACTAAAATAGAGAAAATAAACCAAATTTCCAAATAATATATATACGAGGAGGAACTGAAAAGTTCTTGGTTCGACCGATTGCATAAAAACTGACCAAATGATCAAACATCAGATTGATTCGTTTTTTACGGCTTATCAACCCTTTGTCGGTTATTTAAAACCAGAAAAATATTTTTAGATTGTCATAATTTTTTTTTTGTTTTGGAAATAATAACGGTTTAGTGATACAAGTCTTACTAATTAACCCATAGTTGGGAGAAGAAGAGGTGGATTCGTACTTTTCCCAATGGTATTTCGCGTAAGTGAATATAAAGAAACCAATGGGAGTTGGAATTCCGATTCACAATTCGGAACTATTATCCATTATGCCACCCGCATATTCAAGCTTACAGCACCTGGTATTCCCAAACGGTTACCCATCTAGGTATTAACCAGGCTCGACGTTGCTTAAATTCGGTGATCGTACAGGAACCGGCATTTTAACGTGATGTGACCGTAAGCCTCTGAACATCAGAATTTGTAGCTCCTTCTTGGAATCAAGTATGCATGTAAAAGAGAAAAAATATGAAAAGTTAAGAAGTGTGTATGTATATATGTGTCTGTGTGTACGTAAATATTCAGTCACTAAGAGAAAATATATCCCCATGCTCAAGAACAAGGTCTCTTTGGTGTTGTCTCTAAAGCGTGCTGGATTAAAAAAAAAAAAAAAAAAGAGAAGAGAAAAAAAGACAGAAAGTGTCCCATTTTTATAGGTGCTTGACAGCGCCACCTAATGACTTCTTGGCAAAACTGGCAAAATATTTACGAGCGAATTTAATCTGAGAATCCCGGTGATGAATCAAAGGTGTTTCACATAGAGTTCTTTGATATACAGTGTCTCTTCAGGAGTTGAGCTATCATAGCTCCCCCAAAAATCATCTCCCTTGTAACCTTAAGTATTGTTTATCCCGTTACTAGACCTTCCCGTTGCTGTTCTACCATCCATTTACACAAGATCGTTAGATAGATTATTCGCTGTTTCCCTCTGCCCTTCTGTCTCGTTTTTATTATTATTATTATTATTATTATTATTATTATTATTATTAATGGTGGGCGTTCGTCGTTTTATGTGAACAACCTCCCAAATTTTTAATCGTTTTTTCAGTTTGATTGCTAGAGCACTTTTGCATTGTCAACCATTTAACGGTAATTAAAAGGAGCCTTATGGATTTGTGCTAATCGCTTATATATGGTATTTTGCTCGGATATGTAACAGGTTGAACTTCTCAAGAAAAAGGTTGTATAACCAATATATGTTGTTTTTATTGTTTTTTGGGTTTTTTTTATATATAATTATCGACAAGGACACAGTGTCCCAAAGGACATGATAACTGGTATACATAAGTCTTTTGCAAAGCGTTTTTTTGTGAAATGTTGTTATCAGTGCTGGACTTACCTACATGCTTAGCAGGCTAAATCCTCAAAATCTAGGTGTATAATTTTTTGACACTGTTCTTACACATGATGTCATAACGTATTGTAGATTCTAAACAATCCTTCAATAATTTTCGTTACATTCAATTTCAGAATAATAACTTGATACTAGCATTGATTTCTTTATATATATATATATATATATATATAATTTTTTAAACATTTACGCATTTGTTCAATCACATACTGTATTTAACAGTAAGACCTTATGTCCTGGAATTTTAAACATCCGTCATCATCCTCGGCTTTACTCAAATTTAACACTCTTCCATTTACCTCTATTCGTGAGAATGGAGGATTTGAAGGAGCCTCACAAGTGGAATAGACTAGGGCTTCTTTTCATCTAAATCCGGTCCTGGTTGTTAGTAAACATAAAGTTGAGAGTTTTGAATTTTTTGTAGTGTGTGGTGAATCTTAGACGATTTTTCCTATATACAGGACTTTATATCTCTAGATTATAATTCTATTTGTTTGTTTTTTTTACCTTTTATGTAATTGGAGTGTATCTGGTTACAGTAAAATAATGTAATACTTTTGTTGTGTTTTAAGTCGATTTTATAATGTATTACATTCTGATTAGATGTCTGTAAAAATAATGTTATAACCTCATCGGCAATTTGATTAGTAAAGCCATTACTACTAAATGTTTGTTTAATATTGGATAATTCTTTATAGTATATTTTTGTATAGAAAGATATTGATTTAGTTCAGGTGGTAATGTTTTTATGGCGTCTATCTTTTGTTGCAGAGTGTGTATGTTGAAATCACGTCGGGAAGTCACCAAATGTTGCGGGGTACTACTTCTAGTCTGCTTAAAAAGACAGTGGTGACAATATTTTGTACCTGTAAATGACGAGTGTAAGGAAATTAATGAATTTCAACAAGGTGATATTCTATATTTTTGCTTTTATATAATGGAGTAAAAAATACACTAGTATGTATGTAAAAGAAAGAAAACTTTAAAAGTTAGGAATTATGTGGGTGATACACGTGTGTGAAAGATATCCCCATGCCCAGGTGCAAGATCTCGGTGATATTGTCACTCCAGCATGTTAGAAGGAAAAAAAAGAGATAAGGGAATGAAGACAAAAAATATCTTATCTTTAGACGCTTAACAGCGCCCTCTAACGACTTCTTGTCGAAACCGGCGAAACTGTTCGAAGATAACCTACACTTTTAATAGTAAGGACATTCACTTTGTTAGTTAAGGAGACAGGGGTTAATACTGGTGTTTATTTTATTTGTGTGTGTGTGTGTGTGTTTTTTTTTCTTTTTTTTTCATATGTTGAAATGAAAAAGTTATGATACTTATTAACGATGAGAAGGTCGAGAAACGTGATTTTTTATTGACACTCTATTTGTAAAACTAAATATTGAGTTACTTTCAAATGTTTACTTTTTAGTTCTTTTTTTAATGTGACAAGATCTTTTGAGAGAAGGAATATGTTGTCGATCTGTATAAAGAGTCTGATTAAAAAACAAAAATAAATATAAAATATAAAAATAAAATAAACAAAAATAAAAAGAATTCAAATTAAAATAAGGCATTTGCTTTCATTTAAAACCCTTATCTTTCTCTTTCTCTCTCTCTCTCTCTCCCTCTCCGTCTTTCTATATACTTCTCTAACGAAAAGGCAATCCTTAAATAAAAAAGGGTAAAAAGAAGAAAAGACTGAATCTAGCCGCAAAACGGCGGAAGTTGTGACTAAAACCTACCAAAACTCAAAGTGTCTCCACGCATAACTTCTACTATATAGAAAAATGAAAAAGGAAGGAACGCCGGAAAATAAAATAATTTTGTTTGACCAATCAAAAAGTTAAAACAAAGAGATTTTGATGTTGAGCGAAACCGAAGTTTGCGCCAGTAGTCGGGCACACTTGTCAGCCCTGATATCTGAAAGAGGAGAAGGGACCGCTTGGAAACCAGCCATGCGAGTCACGTGAAGAAGTTAAGCGGTCATCTGCTAAATGAAATTTTTCAGCACTTCTTAGAATCGAGAAAACACGGCAGATTGACGCCGACCCAGATTTTCTCCTGACTGCGACCAAGGTCCGATTTATAAACGAAATTTCGTTACCCCGAATTACAAAGGACTCACTCAAATTTAAATCAAATAAGTAAATAAATATATATTATCTCTTCATACTCTTGAGTAAGTTCGTTTTAATTCTAAAGTTTCCGATAAATAAATACCAACAATATCTAGAACTCTCTCTCCACTTATGAAGGACTAGCTTTTAAAAGCCACCCTATCGGGCGACATTTAAGCTAGCTCCTGCAGTGGGCTTGTTCAGGAGTTTGAGAGTCCCGAAGTCTTTGAATATTCTCAGCATTGGAAGCTTGTCGTGTCTACTAAAATATCAAATACAATATTTATAAACCAATCACACTCAAGAAAACACTTACATCTTAAAACACACGAATGTGTTTGTTGTATTAGTCTTCGTTATTTTTAGGTAGATACCGACCAAATATCGTACGGACGTAGTAGAAGACATACCACGTGACTTCTTAGGGCCAATTAAGAATAAGTAAATAATTTAATTCTGGAGCCGATATTGTTCGGAAAAAGTGTATAAAAACATACGAAATCCGTTCCCAAAACAATATACACGCGGCTGTCACCAAACTACACACACCTCTCGCTGATGACCTTCATGACCTCATGTTAAAAACGACAGCGTTGACAAACTCCAGACCACGGCAACATCGCCAACAGTAAGAAACAATTCGTATCTCTCGTATCCGTTTTTACTATGAATCACGCACACACATGTAGACTTTTTCATACAAACACACATATCGCAACATTTTATTGTTTCTCACACACGTACACAAAGACAGTTTATATTTTATTTCAGAACTTTATCAACCCAAACAAAAGACATTACTTTCCAATCTATTATCAACTGTTTGTATTCTTATCGTTATATTAAATTAATGTTTATTTGTTGAAACTACGTCGTCTTTTCTACTGAATTTTATTCCTTCAATAAAAAGCGTTTGATTATTCTAGACGGCCAAATTACGAGCGACCCTGTAACGATATTTTGTTAATGTATTGAATCCCGACACTCCAAATTTTAACATTCAACGAAAAACCGAGTAGAAGGATTCCTACAAGCTCTCCTGACTGCCGTTTGATCTGGCTTTTCATTTGCACGGAACTTTCTTTACCTCACTGCAGCCTTAGCTCTTTTGATTGTAATCTGGTCCTCTGTTGGCGGAGATTTCTTTATGCGAGGCATACTGCTGCCATATGCAATAGGCAACAATAAACTACAAAAGAACTCGAAATTGGTCGCTGCATTTAAGTATTGCATTAATTACATTAATTTTTAAGCTTATCTCTTAAAAGTTCAACGATAATGTTGCGGAGTTGATGGTTATTTAGATTATTGGGTCAAAAGATATATCAGAAGGCTAAAGATTTCGTGAACAAAAAATCTCTACAAACAATTTTAAATTTTCTTTTCGGCGCAACGTTGGCAAAACATAATAAAAATATACAACAACTTTCTTTCAGCAAACAATAAAAAATATTTATATAATGATTAATATACAAAAGATTGAATGATGTGTAATTCAGTGAATTAATGTTTGGTTGAAGAGTTTAAATTTGTTTTTTAAGTCACTTGAAAATGTTCTTTTAGCAGGTGAAATGTGTCCCTGTGAAGAATGTTCAAAGTGTGTAAAATTAATATAGAAGTTGTAATTGATAAATCTGTTTGAAATGAATTAAATAGTTTTTAACAATTTCTATAATTGAAAATTGCTATGTTTAAGATGTAGCAGGAGTTACCTACCTTTGACTGTAAAATTGTACTTGTCAAAGTTTGTAAGATAAAAAAAATGTTTTTACTGAACTCGAGGAAATAGTTTCAGTTCATAAATACATAATTAATCTCGATGAAAGAAATGTTCTTCAATAAGAAAGTATTGTAGATTCATGAAAATTCGGCGTAAAATAAATTTTGAAGAATTTAATGAGTGAGAGTTGAATTGTAATCTTAGTTTGACGATCA